TGTTACTAATATTTGTGCTTTGTCTTTTCCTTTGAATTCAGATACAGGTTAGAGACAAAAACATGTGTTTCCCTTTTGGAGGGAAAAATGCAGGAAGGTTTGATTAGTATTTGAATGACTCAGGAATCTTTGGTCGGTTCCTATCTGTTGTGCTAGTGGCTCGATTGGCTTTGAGTTCTTTAAAAAAATGCTTAAAATGGTCATTTGCATTTTTTTTCTTTTGATTTTTATTTGGCAGTTTGTTACGGACCAGTGTGTGGATTATCTGTTACGTTCACATTTTCAGAAATACTAGGCAGTGCATATAATCTAAGCCTTCCTGTGTATGATTAAATCCTTTAAAGGGGACCTATTATGCTTTCATGTTTGTATTCTTGGATTCTACTAGAGTAGCTTTGCATGATTCACTTATACTGGGTTTCAGTGAAGACCCTCGGTTAATCCATCGTCTGAAACAAGTCGTTTAAGCTCCCATACCCCTCACTTTGAGCCCGGGATGTCAAACTAATTTTACATGGTGGGCCACATACTGCCCAAATTGGTTTGAAGTGTGCCTGACCAGCAAAACTCCCCTCTCAATCAGTGTGAAGATGTTTAACTACACCTTTAATCCCATTTAATCTAAGAAAAACAAGTGTCAACAGTACATCACAGAGTTTCTACACGATGAAGACATTTTGCAGTAAGTGAATGAAATCTGTCAGCATAAATAAATAAATATGTAAAATTACAGAATAAACATATTTTATTCATTCAAATCATACAAACCTTTATAGGAACCTTAAGATGTTCCAAAGCCGTCCATTGGGCTGGATGGAAGTCTTTGCCTGGCCAATTCTAGGCCTCAGGCTTCATGTTTGACACCCCTGCTTTAATCGAAAAATATTCTGATTGGTTGCCCATCACATTCACAACACTTGAATGGCAGATGGGTGAAGTTTCTGTCTAATATCTCAAAAACAAGATATTGCACTTCATTGGTCCGGTCACATTCAAATCTCAGCAATAAAACCGTGTTGTTGTTGTTGTTTTTTTTGGTTGTTTTTTTTTTTTTTAATGGTCTGAAAGTGAGTATTCAGAGCAGTCTGAAGCCTAAACTTGACTCATTGCACATACACTGATTTAAAATTTTGAGTCAGTTCAATTTCTGAGCAAGCATCACCACAATGTGACTGGTTGAGATGTGGAGAAGCATAATAGGTCCGCTTTAATTCTTCCGTCTTTGTTTCCTATATGACTTTAAGTGTAGCGCTGTGTTTGTGTTTCGTTAGATGTTGCAGTAAAAGCTCGAGTCTGAGGGTGAGGAAAACTGCTCAAATGAACCGATTCAAAAGGAATGACTTTAGTTAATATTTTCTTGCTTTGTTGTTGTTTTTAGATTGAATTTTTATGTTAAAGTCGATCTTTTGTGGTAATAAAATGGCACATTATGTATTCTAACAAATGAAAACGTTCATCCCAAAACGGAGATGTTGAAAATGCGATGCCTTTGCTAATGACACCGTCTCCGTCATCCAAGCACATCTCGCAATAAGACCATCAGCCAGCAAAACAACCTTTGAATACAAATTATCAGAAAATTTGGGGTTTTAAAGGTTGTGTTTTGAAATGTTAGCTGAGGATTTCTTGAGTTTTTTGGAAGGAAACATTTGATTTGTCCCTCTTCCTTTGACTTTTTGCATTTCGCACTAACCCTGTGGTCTCTGTTTTAATAGCCCAAGCCTTACTTTACTACTCAGTGTTTAAAATATACATTAAAAAAGTGCTTTTGTTTGAAATATGTATCTTTTAAGATGGAAGACTGTACTTTGTATTAAACCTGTTTTTGAGAGGTTTTGGCATGTTTAAAGCAGATTTATGGTATTTATAACTTGTGGCATTCTTGAACTAATGAAATACAATTAAAGATGTCTATATTTATTACCAGATTATGGTCTTGATTTATTTGACTGTCTCTGTTCTGTTAAATTTTGGGTCTGGGAACTTCCAAATGTCGTCCAAGATGCTATAAAAAGTGATGTTTTACTTAATACTAAGGATTATAAACGTGGAGACTTATTGGTCATCTTTGCTCCTCGCGTGAAGGTGTTCAATAGCCAATAGTGTGCGTGCCATTAGGACATGCGCACCAGAGCGTGTCAGACCTGGTCCCGCCTGGTCCCGGAGAAAACAAGGGGTGTGCTTGGGTGCTTGTGAAGCAGCAGCAGCGGCGCATGCGCCCAGGAGAAAATCACGGGCGTCGTGCCTCGCCGCAGCGATTGCAGATTTTTGATGTCAGATTGGAAGGAGTGAGAAGGGGTGAGAGACACTGGGGTCTAACATACCGAGCCCGGTGGAAAAGAGGAGTGGAAACCCGGAGTGTGTAAGAAGAGAAGAGGCGTGTGTGACTCCGACTTAATCCTTTCTTTCCAACTTGAGTCTTACAAGCCTGTCTGCAGATGCAACCTGTCTGTCATCCCATCCGTCCCAGTAATCCCTGTTTATTGCAGCGTTTCCTCCAAAGGGGACTACAATGACACCCTGGTGAACACGCTCAGGATGGAGTAATCATACAAGCACCCAGCGCAGCGCAGGATGCGCATCTCCAACCCGACGACGGAGAAGAAGAAGGTAGAGAAGCCTGGCTGTTATTCTGCTTTCACATGTCAGAGATTTTCCGCGGCGCTGTGGATTGATCGTTTCCGTCATCAGCCTTCTGCTGCCGGTGTCGGTGTATAATGGAGAGCTCCAATGGCTCTGGCAGCGACACCAAACCGCAGAACCACCAGTTGGAGAAGAAGCGACTGAACCGAGCGCCTTCACCGGCCAGACCTTTCCTCAAAGACGTGCACACCCGCGGTGCCAAACCACCTGCCATCGTACCGAAATCCCCCAAACTAAGCAAGCAGCAGCAGTCTGCCACAGTGCCCTTAGCCCACCTGAACCGCAGCTCCAGACGCACCCCGGCCGGAGCCAAGGAGAAAGCAGCCACGGCAAAAAGTAACACCAAGTCTGCCGTCGCGAAAAAACCCACCAAGGTGCCACAGCATGCCGCAGCTGAGCCCAAACCCGCCAGCATCAAGCCGGACTGCACCAGCAGTCCGATCCTCGCCAAAGGCAAGAAGGGAAAACTAGCCTCCGGTTCTCCGGGCCCTCTCAGCCATGGATCCCCGATCCGGGTACCGACCGGAGCGCCTCTCGGCCGAGTCAGCCAGACCGACAGCAGTTCAGACCTGTCAGACTGCCCGTCCGAGCCGCTATCGGATGAGCAGAGGCTGGCACCAGCCGCTAGTAGCGACGCCGAGTCTGGTACCGGCTCCAGTGACCGGGATCAGCTGGGAGCAGAAGCTACCGCATCCACAGCTGCTGCCCAGCCGCGCACAACCGAGGCTTCCGCCGCCAAGGGAAGCAAGTCTCAGGCTCAGCTCGCTCCGGGCTCGCACGGAGAGAAACACAAGCAGGAGAAACCCTCCGCAAGCGCACAATCCAAACTGCCAAGCACCAAGCAAGCAACCGAGGAGGACCTGCAACGGGAAATTGAGGACTTGAGATCGGAAAACGACTACCTCAAGGTATGACAGCCTGATTTCAACAAGTTACAGAAAAATCACTGTTTTTGTGTGTGCATTTTTCCACATTCCATCCAGAGCAGCTATCCAATCAAAATCGGTCCCGTCACAGGACATCTATGGGTTCTTTTTAAGTGTCCTTGAACTTCCACCTGCTCACTAATTGGAAGCATAATTACAATCCTAAGACATTTCCCCATGATGCACAGCTGTCATCCCCACGAAATCCCCGCTCTCCATTCATCATGTCATCACTCGTATTTTTTTAACCTTCCCGGGATTCCCTGCTGGTTTGACCTTTATCAATAGGATTACATTGATAGTGGTTTTTATCCTAGTATGCCCTTTAAAATTTAGGTGTTTCATATTGTTGCTGTCAAATCACCAAAGTCTGTTTTGACAGAAAGTCTCAACATCAATTTTCCACTCTGTTGCATTTGGGGCATACATAAGTACATCTGTGTGTGCGCGTAATGATGCGAACACACTGTAATCAGATGCGGTGCAGATCTTATTTCTGCTATTTCTTAACTTTTTGGAGTTGTGTTCAGAACATTAGTGGATGACAAACGAATGCATGTGTCTGCGGATCTAACCAAGAGTTAGATTTCAGAAACCTCTGTTTTTAAGAGGGTGTACGTATATAATGCTTTGTTTGCAGCTTCAATGGACCTGTTTATACGCAGAATCCCCCCCCCCCCCCCCCCCTTTAAGTAGGTTATCCACATAATTTGGGGAGGGGGAGGCAAACAGTTAATGCGGCACACACTCTTGCAGCCTTTTTTTTTTAATTCAATGTTTATTTGCATGTTACTGATGAGAGTATTATTATTATTATTATTATGAGAGTTGATCACGCATGTCTGCGTGTGTCTCTGGCTCGGTGGAGACACAAGAGAGTTAATCAGCTTTACTGGCTCCCGCTGTAATGGCTTTATCCCACAGGACTTGATAACAGTCAGATGTCCCATGTGTGCAGGGTTCAAACACCCTGCTTGGCTGTCAGCCTGCCAGCTGGGTCTCTGAGGTCCTTTGCAACCCCCCAGCCCCCATGGCCCAAAAATGTATGGGAGCCCTCATCTCTGCTGCATCTTATCCTCATGGAAAAAATGTTCAACATATTTATTTTTCTTGGGAATTTATTATTTCTGATGGTTTGGCAGTTTTGATTGGGGTGAAGGGAGACAGGGGAGATATAGGGGAGCGATAATTGATAAAATCTGTCTGTTTATACGGTATTTATATACATGACAACATTACATTACTACCAAAAGACAAAAGAGTTGGTTTTTTTATTAGAGCTGCAGTGATTAATTGTTAATTAAGAGCAAATTAATCAGCGAGTGATCTGATTGTTGTTTTTCAAGCATAAATGTGGCGGTTTGCTGTTTTTCTACCCCGTTCAATATTATTTGATTTTGGAAAGTTGACAAGATTTAAAAAAAAAAGTTTTTTAAAACCTTTTTATGAGCTTTTTAAAAAAATAAAAATAAATTCAAAGTTAATTATAAAATATATCTGTTTGAGAAGAAGAATAGCTGGAACCTTTTACAGATTATCTTATTATGATTATTATTATTTAATTATCTGACTGACACTTCTGGAAAGATAGGTTACTTGTTTGGTCTGTTATTAGTCTATCAAAATTACTTTCAGCCCCATCCATAAGTATTTTAAATGTTTATAAGCATATAAAATGTACCTTTTTATATAGTATAAAAATATAGTTATTTTTCTTTAAAAATGTACTAAAATTTCAACTTTAAGCTCATGAAAAATCAGTGTTGTTGCTGTTTGTTTGGTCTGTCAATCAATTGGTTGTCTTATTGTTTTAGTTCCACTGGCTTTTTAAAACTTATAGAATGAAATTATATATTCATTAATGATCATAAAATTTTCCATCTATTTCGCTTCATGTTAACCTTTATGTAAATCGATAACATTAGTGTTCTGGATTACTGATTTGACAAAGCATGCTAAAAATGATGGTAGTCAATGTTTAAATATGTCTCCAGCTTTCTGGATTGAACAATAAATCAATTACAAATAAAATAACTGTCAGGTAAACTGATACGTAAAATCATCTGTTCCAGGTCTTCACTGATCGTGAATACAGTCCAAACAAACACCTCCAGCTTTCTTAAAGCAGCTGATAATTCAAAATATCCACCCTTCCAAGAGAGGAAGAAGTAGTGCCGGTGACCCAGCACGCACACCCTTCATAAACATCAGCGATTATACACATGCTCCCAGGATGTTGCCTTGACTCTGACTCTTTTAACCTGGTCATCGATTGGCTCGACCCCGTACGAGGTCATTAGCTGCTTCCTCCGGGGCCCTCCTCGTATAACAATGGACTGTGTGCTTTTCCAATCCAAATGAGGATAGATTTAGTTTTCATTAATTGACATACTCATCCCCTCCCTCTCTTTTTTCTCCGTCCAATTGTCTTTTCATCTAGTGGCGCTTAAGTCCTAGGACGAAACGTCTCGGGGGAAATCTACAGAACAAACTGATTCGTCGAGACGGGAGGCAAATTCAGTGGTCACCAAACAAACCTCAGTAGTGCCTCGGTACTGCAGATAAATCTCCCTTTTTCCAGACTGCGATGTTACGTGATAGGAGCTGGAGAATATGAATGCATCCAATCCGAAGATAAGATGCTTAGAACCAACTAGTAATGTTACATCATCAGCCCTAATAGTACCTGCATTACTGGAACTCATGTAATCATATAAAAGTATTAGTGTAATCTACCACCGTATATTACCGCAGACTGTATCGCCTTTCTTATATTTTTGTATCACAAACCATTTAAAATTGATAGTTTAGGACTAAAATACGTGTAGCTGTAAAACGTCATCTTTTTTAGAGTAATGAGAAGAACCAACAATTTCCGTTATCATTGATGGTTTTGTCAAGTGTTCCACTTACGTTTTTATTATTCTGAGACTCTGGTCAACAGAAAAATAAACCAAACTATTTTCTGTGACTATTTTCTAATTGGATATTTCAGCTGTCTTGTCTGAACTTTCTTTTTTTTTTTTTTTTTTTAAGTCCAAGAAGATGAAATCTCTTATTTTGTTCTGAGATGCCGTCTGAGGGAAAAATGACTTATTATTAAAATCTAGCTTAAAGTATGCTTTGAAATTTAATAGTATTTTCTTGCTCATCTGAGGCTGAATATTTTGCAATTTTCTTACATGTTGGTGGTTAATTTATAGTCAACAAAAATACAATATTTTGAGACGATTAAAAAAAAAAATCCCCCATAGTCTTCTGTTTGCCACTGTGTAGGATAAATCTTAAACTCTAGTCCCTCCTCTGGATAATACAATACTGTCAGCATATTGCAGGTTTAATGTGTGTTATATAATGTAGAGGAGCTTAGATCTGTAGTTTTACATTTCAGCGTCATAACTTGTGCCAGATTTATGTATTTATTGCTGTATCGCAGATGTACTCCTATTGGCGTGCATGTTGTCTGGTACTGGTTTAACAAAATCATGCAGGAAAAGAGTTTTAGGTTGGTTTCGAAAGGGTTTGATCATATTGTTTGTCTGCTGGAGTCGCTCTAACTGGTTTACTCGGCACTGTCTGCAGCACATGTAGCAGAGCAGCATCACAGCTGATCAGACAGTCATGCAGAGTCAAGCTGGGTCTTTACAGCAGGCTGCTCACATGCATGCTAAACTGGAAGTTATTGTGTTCCTCGCATCATGGAAATCCTGGGTCCATACACATCTTTTAGGTGAGGACTTTGTATGTTCTCACTCTGCCTGTGTGGGCTCTCTCCAGCTTCTTCCCAAAGACATGCATGCTAGGTTCAGCTAATTAGTTATTCTAAAGTGGTCGTATTTGTGAATATGAGTGCAAATCGTTGTCTGTCTTGATGTGTTAGTCTTGCAATACAATGACAATCTGTCCAGGAGCCCCATCACAGGTGGGATAGCTCCACTCCGACCCTGAATAGGATAAGTGATTAAGAAAATAATGGATACAATTTGGAATCAGTGTAAGAGGATTTTTGAGGAATTGGAATTATCTGCAAAAACGTTTTCACCAATAAAAACATCGATATAACTGTAGAGCATCTGAAACAGATTATTTTGGCTGTCAGAATTTTTTTTTTTTTTTTTAGAAACTCAGGAGTACGTCTAACTTTCCAATTCAGCATTGCAGTTGTGCTGGAGCCTGTTCCAGCTGTCACAGGGTGTGAGACGGGCTACACCCTGGATACATCACCAGCCTGTACGCATAGAGACAAACAAACATTCACATGCATGGCCAATTTAGAATCACCATACATGTATTTGGATTGTGGGAGGAAGTGGGAGTACCCAGGGAGAACATGCATGCTCCACACAAAAAGCCCCAGCTGGCCTGAGCTGGATCCTAACTCAGGACCTTCTTGCTGTGAGGTGTTGGTGCTAGCCACCAAACCACCATGCCAGTCCCATAACAAACCATGAGAGGTATTTTTGTTTTTTGTTTTTTTCTCTTAAGTAACCAGATTATAATTTCTGGAAAGAAACATCAAGGCTATTTTTTTTCTTTCAAAGTGATTTTTGGTGCTTTTTGGCATTTTAATTCAGTAAAAGCAAGCATCTGGTAAATGGTGAATGGATCGGTATTCATATAGCATTTTTCTGCTTTTCTGCTCTAAATGAACACTCAAATCATATCAGTATTATTAATGTGCATTATTAACATAGTCGGCCTCTGTTTTCCGTCTTTCTCAGGATGAAGTGGACGAGCTGCGGGCTGAGATGGAGGAGGTGCGCGACAGCTATCTGGAGGAGGAGGTTTACCAGGTACAGGAGCTGCGGAGGGAACTGGACCGCTCTAATAAAAACTGCCGAATCCTGCAATACCGCCTGCGAAAGGCAGAGCAGAAGAGCCTACGGGTTGCTCAGACCGGACACGTGGACGGAGAGCTGCTGCGTAGTCTGGAGCAGGATCTGAAGGTCTGCGAGCTTGTCTGTGTGTTTGTCAGTGACCGCAGTAACACCTGTCATCACTCAACACTTTGGCATGACAAAATGTCAGTGTAAAAGTATTGCATGTGTTTACACATAACGCCAAAGTTATGAAGAATCCTAAAATAAGGGATTTTTTATCTTTAGGATAATTAATAATCTGATCTGTAAGTTTCTTCACAGCATCTTTTCAGTGTGGCAACATTATGACTGTAAGCCAGTCTTTCTTTTTCTGGCATTTTAAAATTTGGGAAGCTGAAAAAAAGTTCAATCCTCAAGCTCTATATTTTTAATCAATCAATAGCAATAAAAAAGCACAACATTTAATTTTACTTAAAGGTCAGTGTTTGTTTTACCAAAAAACCCCATATACCTTAGCTTAGCTTCCCTTCATTATTTTCACAGTGGACCTGCACCTCCCTAGGAGGTGAGAACTGAGTCCAAGAAGTCCAAGTGGAAACTGAAATAGTTCAATGACTGATAGTGTCACAAGATTGATTTAAGAGAGAAAATTATAATCATTGTCATTATCAACTAATCTGTCAGTTTAATAATAATAATGATAAAGAAAGTTTTTCCTATAGGGCAGCAAATTATATAATAAAACGTGTGTGGATGTGTTAGGATGTAAGTTCAACATATTAACACGTGCATTATGTTTGAACCTTTTGGGACCGTGTGACCTTAGGTGGCCAAAGATGTATCGGTACGTTTGCACAACGAGCTGGAGATCGTGGAGGACAAACGCAGCAGAGCTGAGGACGAGAACGAGCTGCTCAGACAAAAGATCATCGAGGTGGAGATCGCCAAACAGGCACTGGCCAACGAGCTGGAGAGGACCAAAGAGGTCAGAGAATAACAATGCAGTAGTTGAGAGTTTAGTTTGTGGCTTTGCTGTAAATGAACAGCCTGTAAATATGGATTTCCACATATAAACAAGGAGGAATTTTGGTTAATGTGACCATGTTTCAGATGAATGGTGATCACTGACCTGATCAGCAGGAGGGTCACTGCAGTCAAATTTTGCCTTTAAGTGCAGAATCTTTTCTCAAACACTCGCATCAGGATGTGTGAACATGTTACTTTCACTGTATTATTCAAAAATAAGACCAAAAAACCCCTCCCACTCACAGCTCAGGTGTGTGAACAAGTTGTTCCCCATAAATGTGCGTTAGGAAAGAGGTTCAGCAACTTCTTTTAGCCAACATTCATAACAATAAACAATGAAAGAGCTCGTCAAAACCAGATGTCTTGCTTCTCGTGCTTCTCTTAGTTTAGACATTTTGACCTCGATGGCATTTCCCGCTACACGGTTTTGCACATAATGAATGGCTACATCCCAAGAAGCAGTACATAACATTTTGTTCTAGATGTTATGAGCTTCAGACAAACTAAACTGAAGGTATGTGATAGCTACGAAGTCAGAGAGGAAATTCCAAGTAATGTATGAGCTCTATTTTTCTAGTTTAGTGGTGAATCTGAATCACGGAAAGTCATGCTTCTTTAGGTGCTAGGAAGTACACTCCCACTTTAACTGCAGTGTACCCACACTCCCAATTTACCCATGTTCTTTAAACATTTTAATTTTGTGTTTTTGCTGCTGTATCAGTATAATTTAGGCTTTTGTTATACTTCAATATCACTGTTTACCTCATCTGTGAAGTAAGGCCGTCTCACAGGTAACGAGATGAGCAGAAGCTATTCTCAGTGCTGCTCAGCTTCAGTTGCTTAGACTAATCGATTCTGACAACAAGAGGTAACATGCCATCTGCCAACAAAGAAAAAACTAGGCTAATACCAGACCGGTCAGTCTGGAGATGTGGCTTTCTTTTGGCAGCAGGATGACACTGTTACTCGTTTCCTGTCGTTATGTGCGCTGCTGAAGATGCTTTGATTTTAAGCTCATGCCACATTGTCTCCGTGAGACTTTGCATGCTTCTGCGTACCCTTCAGAAAGGTCTACCACTGGTTCAGAATCTATATTCTAAAGATGTTTCTGACCTTAACTGTCAGTGCTCGCAACATCGCTGTTTTCAAAGACAGCTTATCAGGAACTGACTGAGAGGCAGAATTCATGTCTACTATGGATGTGCTAATGCAGTCAACGCAACTCTTGTTGCTGTAATCCTGATAACCTTTTAAAAGAAAGTTATTGGGAAAGAGCGAGAGTGCAGTGTGAGGAAGCTGCACATTGTTCTTTTGACATTTTTCAGATATCTGTAATGCGGGGCGTGCTGTGTAACTCTGTAACTGTGGCTCGGTGCAGTTTTATGCAGCTCGGTGGTGGTGGGACGATGCATACATTTATGAGCATAAGATGACACAGACTGTCTTGTTCAAAGAGGAGTGGAGGGAGTAGTAAGTAGAAAGCCTGAGACACCGGCTGCTCCAAATGATTTTTTTGTGTTTTCCTCCGAGCTTTGTCCCAGAAAAACATAAACCGTCTCTGGCTCTTTTATAATACAGCACCCCCAAATGTGTTCAGAGTTGGTCCACATTTCTTTTTCCATGGGCTCGCATAAAGTCTTTTGATTGCTTTAAAATTCAGGATAACCATTTCAGGAAATTATTAGAGTGTTTACACGCAATTTATTTGGCGATCAGCTTCAGCAACTGAATCTAAGAAACTGCCCTTTGCTCTCAGAGCTGCTCAGTCACAGAGATAACATCGGTCATAGACAGGAAAGGAGCAACACACTTACTGATAAGAATGCAGCTCAACTGGATTGAGGAGTACTTCATTTCCTTTTCAGATTTAATTACACCTCGTAAACCATGACTCAGGTGTACCGTGACGCAATTTACAGAAGAAAAGGGAAGCACATAATCCAGCACTGCTTTGAGTTTTGTTCTAGTTTGTATGAGTCAGCCCCATTACTTTTCTTAGGATATCTTTTCAGCTCCTTTATCACTAGTGTTGAATGCTAACATACACTTTAAATGCAGACGAGCACCACTGCATGAACAAAGCACCTTAACGTGGGCTTCTCAAATAAAATCATACTGTCGATCAAAAAACCCCCCAGTTCAGCTCAAGTTCATTATAACCATCTATTCAAAAGAACTCTTCAGAAATTAAGAGTTAGATTAAAATCTTTATACACAAAATTTACTTTAAATAAGAGCAGAGATGGCTAATCCAAAGAGCATTGGTTGGATCCCTGCCTCCTCCAGCCTGTGTATTTAAGTATCCTTGGGAAAGATAGTGAACCGCAAGTTGCCTCGGATGTGTCCATTGGTGTGTAAGTCTGTGTGAATGTTATATAAGTACCGGTCCCTTTACCGTTTCTATCAATACATTGATCTGTTACATTAAGCATCTTTTAGTAACCATACAAGTATTTATGAAAGCAGGAGTTGCTGCACTGATCCTAAAACACCAAAGTTACACAATAGTACAAACAAACCAACCAGTCGAGACTAACAACTCCCATTTTTTGTGGGACCTATGAAATCGCATTTTATATTAATTGATCTACATTAATTAAAGTTTTTGTGCTTGCGTAAAAGATACTGAGATGTATTGTGTAATCTGAGAGTAAACATCTTTGTTACTGTACCTGAATTTGGCTTTTATACAAGGCGATCTAAAGAGCCGTGCTACAAACCTCATGTTTGACACGTTTCCCTAAAAACCTCTAGTGAAACACAAACATTGATATAATATTCTGTGTGTAAAATGACATGTTAAAAATCAAAATCAACTGTTTTCTTCCTCATTCTGTGTGTGTACATTTAACAGCTTAAAATCCAGCCATCAGTAAATGTTGTCGTATTTGCCAATAGTTATTCTGATGTTGGGCATATGTTATATTTATACACATTAATCCTCAATTTGTTTTGAAAAAGTATTATGAAAAAAAAAATCAGTTTGAATTTTTTCACTGCATTGCTAAAGGTCGGCTAATCTCCAACAGTTTGTGCATCTCTGCCCTTTAAAACCCAAGTCCTCATGTCCCTGCGCCTGTTCTTGGCTATTGGAGGCTGCACAATGTGACGCTGGCCCAGAGATTGGCACCCCAGCATGGATTAATCCAACAAGAAGGGCTGTTATAAAACAGCCTGGCGTGTTTCCGTACGCTCAGATGGGAGGGGAGAGCGAGGGAGAAAAAGACAGAGAGGTATGGGATGGCTGTAAGCAGACGGCCATAGGCCACGTGTGCGTGCGCTATAACAACAGCTTTCGGCCCTGATATCAAACAGTTTAGCAGAGCTGCCTGACGGGATCTTCTTCACTTTAAATTATGGTCTCGTTGCTGGTCAGCACGAAGGCAAACTGTGATCAGTTGGGAGATTTTTCATTCTGACATTTGAAGAAAGGCCCACTGATGTGTGTAATGAACTGGAACTAATGAAATGCCGACACGCAGAACACGAGCATCAGGTGATTTATCTGCAGTTCCTGCTTCACTGTGATAAACTCATCTTTCATTAGGCCAAAGGATAATCCTTTGTGAGGTGGTTTTCCCCCTCAGTGACTCCCAGGTATGTTGCACGTCAGATATTTTCATATTGAAGCATTAACTTGACATCAGATGTCATGAAAGCAGTGATCAATAAAGTCTCATTGAGGGTTATGCTGGTAAGATGAGGATTCTTTTGGAGTAGGCAGAGAGCATTTAAGTGTGATTTTGTAGCGTTTGTTCTGCTGAAGGAGTTCTAATAAAAGCCGTTCACAGCAGTATCTGTGGATTATTCATCTTCTTAATGAATTTGAGTGGAGGACATATCTAAAAAGGAAGGTGACCAAATAAAGGCACTATTAGTGGGTCCTACTATATTCATTTTGATTTAATCGAGTCATAGCGAAGCCCTAAAAAAGAGAATATATCTGGAACTAAGAATCTCTAATCACTTGATCCCAGACCCTGATGTGATGTTTCAAGAAAGCCTTTCTGGTCTGTCAGACAGCCCAAATTAATTTCACACTGGCCACTTTCTTTTCTTATCAAATCAGATCACTTTTTATTGTCACATCACATGTGCAGGTACACTGGTACAGTACATGTGAGTGAAATTCTTGTGTGCGAGCTTCACAAGCAACAGAGTTGTGCAAAAATACAATAACGTAAAACAAGCAAAATATAAGAATGGCTACATCTGAGCCTAATAAATATATGTACAATATATAATAGTATATGCATTACTGGATGTGTATACTAATATGTTTTTCTATATGTGTGTGTGTGGGTGTACACATATTTTACAAATTAAATAGAGTAAACAATAAAATAAAATATATAAAAAATATACAGAGTTGGTTGAGACATGTGCAAAACAGTGGCATTAATGTACAGTATGTAGTGCATAATGTTTTTTTTTCCAGTCTAATTGATTATTAAATAAATAAAGAAAAACATCTGCTGAGGATCATTTGAGATTGAAAGCTGCCATTTTTGGGAAGTGGAAAAGGGTATGTCACCTGAAATATACATTAAAATGAAGAGCATGTGCAGGCAGAATGTACTCGAGTGAAATTGTTTACACGATGCAATCTGTTCAATAAGGGTTGTATTCCAAAGGCTGATTTGCTTCAAGTGCTTGTGGATGCATAGAGTCGTCACCTGTGCTCATTAGCAAGCTTCTGTTTTGTGTGTTTTTGGGGGGTTTGTTTAATCTTTGCAAAGCAATGGTGTGTCTTTCCTTTTATTGCCTTGTTTCATGTGCAGGTTGCAGTGGAGACGAATCAAAAATTTGCAAATGATGAACTGATTTGATGTGCATTATCAGTTTAACTACTAACTAAATGCAGCACAACTCTGCTGGTTTTTAACTATGAAAGAGCCACAATAACTGGGTTCACTTATGCAGAACCAAAAATAAAGACTGAAGGTGTCTACGAGAGAA